TCTATCTATCTATCTATCTATCTATCTATCTATCTATCTATCTATCTTTCTACCTATCTATCTTTCTATCTTTCTATCTGTCTCTCTGTCTGTCTACCTACCTATCTATCTATCTGTCTATCTATCTATCCAGCTATTCTAACTTTCTTTCTACTCTGTCTATCTACTGTATCTATCTTTCTATCTACTCTATCATTCTATGTTCTCTATCTATCTATATATGTGCTTTGTGCTATGTGCTTGTTCTGTTTGTCCCTGTACAGCACTTTGGTGTGCTTTGTCACTGTTTAAAGGGCTATATAAATAAATTGGTATGGTATGGTATGGTATGGTATATATCTATCTATTCTAACTTTCTATCTACTCTGTCATTCTATCTATCTATATCTATATATATATATATATCTTTCTATCTATCTATCCATCCATTTATCCATCTTTCTCTATCCATCCATTTATCCATCTTTCTCTATCCATCCATCTATCCATCTTTCTCTATCTATCTATCTTTCTATCTATTCTACCTTTCTATCTACTGTGTCTATCTTTCTATCTACTCTATCATTCTATGTACTCTATCTATCTATCTGTCTATCTTTCTATCCATCCATCTATTCTAACTTTCTATCTACTCTGTCTATCTACTGTATAATTCTATCTATCTATAGCTATATATCTATCTTTCTATCTATCTATCCATCCATCTATTCATCTTTTTCTATCTATCTATATATTTATCTTTCTATCTACTGTATCTATCTATTTATCTTTCTATTTATTCTACATTTCTATTTATTCTACCTTTCTATCTACTGTGTCTATCTTTCTATCTGCTCTATCATTCTATGTACTCTATCTACTGTATCTATCTTTTTATCTACTCTATCTATCTATCTACTGTATCTATCTTTCTATCTACTCTATCTTTCTATCTACTCTATCTACTCTATCTATCTATCTATCTTTCTATCTACTCTATCTTTCTATCTTTCTATCTATCTATCTATCTATCTATCTATCTATCTATCTTTCTATCTATCCATCCATCCATCCATCCATCCATCCATCCATCCATCCATCCATC